GGTATTTTCATTAATTAAGTATAAATAAATGCAAGTTTAACTTGTAACTAAATTGTTTTTTGGTATCAAGTGTAGTATTCATTCATGATTATATATATTTCTCTTCTTGGTTATAAAATTGTTAAAACTTGTCTTTCAATATATTAGGATTCAAGTCTACGTTTATAAAACTTTCCTCTTCATGTCTTTGAGCGTCAGGTTTCTGTTGCTGTAAATAGATGAAATATAAGACAAATGTGAAGAAAATAATGGGCTGTTGGTATTAAATTCCAAATAATGTAAATGGCTGAAGTTATATCCTAAAGGTCAACCAAATACAATTGTTACTGATACAATCTGTGTTACAGATGTAAAGTTATTATATAAATTGCGTAGGGACGAAAAAACAATATTGTAATAGCTCTGGTATTAAAGTTGTCCATAGGCGGCGCTGATCGCTTACCAATAGATGATCAGCCTGGCCCATCAAAAAGTTATTAGAACATTCCTGTGTTATATGTGGTTATTTTTATTAGACCATTTTAAGGGATTTTCCATCAGGACATTTCAATGTTTAAATTATTTTGTAGCTTCTTTGTATTAGTATTAATATTATCATTCCTACCTATATTTATGTATGTGTGTGATAATTAATACTTTACCTGGCTGTATTATATATTATCAGATATTATATAAATTTTCAGCCATAATTTAAAGTGGTAAGGTTACGTACAATGTTTCGAACCTTATCTATTTCGATAGAAGCTTTCAGTTAATAACACTAGTATATTATAAACGGGGCTATATAGCTATAAACGGGGTTGCCTTACCTGTTCTAGTGCTAGTTATGATCTATGACAGTTCTGCTGCAGGACAAAATGAAAGACCATTTCCTAACTTTACTAATATAGATATATGCCCTAAATTAGTTGACAAAATTCTTTATACTTTTGGCATATGATTGTAATGTTCCAATTTGTCCAATGAGTCTGCCCATTATTGTTTTCATAGTTCGTAGGTTAGCTGTAATGTAATGTAAGCTATATGTTATGTCCATTGGCGATTTTATCGTAATGGCAGTACATAAGCTATACAGGTATTAATTAAAGTAAGGGTTTTTCAATGACATGTGATTATCAACCTGTAAGGTTGGTCTGCTCTAGCTTAGATCTGAATAGCATTTAATTATTTTTCTTTTATTAGTACTTTAGGTAAGATGTTGTAGTCGAATCGTGTCTTAAGACAATACAGAAAGCTACAGCACGCTAACTTTTATTATATTATAGTTTATTTTGATATCTTTGTAGTATTAAATTGACGATTGAGCATTTTGTGACGTCATAGTAAAGCTGATTGTGGCAAATGGGTTAGTCCGAATTAAGGATATAAATACAATCTCGTTTATGTTTAAATTTATTGTAATGATTATACGATTGAATGAATAGTAACATATAATTTAATATATATTTGTTTAAATTGTTATTCGTTCGTTAATATTTAGAACATGTTTAAGTTTAATAACGCGTTTTGCTTCAGCTGATTATTACTGATTTTGTTTCAATCAAAAACTTACTACTACTTACTAACCGATTAAGTATGGTGACTTAGCTTCGGACTTATCGAAAATTATGCATTCATATCAGCTTGGTATAAAAAAATATTTTATTCTTCTTTTATTTCTTCTTTCTAACTGTTAAAATTATTCATTTCTAACTCAAAAAATAGAAATTTTTATTTACATATAAAAACAAAATAAAATGGCCTACCTCTATATTACCTACTACAAGTTCTCGTAAGCTCGTATATTAGTACATAAATTTCGATACTTCTTGTGGCGAACTCACCATACTTATCCGGCTAGTCTTTATTTTCAGTCGTATTTTTAAAGATTTCATTATAAATGTAACACGTTCATGAATTAGTTTCTGTACAAGTTTGTTTAGGCTGGTTTTCAAGGAAGACTGATAAGCGAAATAAGGAATGGAATGTCTAGTATGTCAAAGATAACGGCTGTGTTTCTATTTGTTGTAAAATTCTTGTTACCAAATACTGTTTGTTAAGTTTGCTAGTTAAGTCTTGTAACTTTTCCTTGTGTGACGAGTGGTCTAAGAATTATGGAAATTATATTATATCCGCCTCTTGTGTTGATTAATTGCCTTTATTATTCCACCACGTTGTACCCATTTACTGTTACACAAGTTACTATTTTCATTGACATATAAAAGTTAGTACATAAAACACAATGAATATACTGGAGTTACACACGCGGTCTTTAATGAATAATGCAAGAAGCATATTGGCAGAACAGGTCATGTTTATTAGTCTGTTCTATGCTATAGCCGAATTTTCTATTTAATGGTATGCACACATTGGTGTCCCTTACACGAATAACACACTGAAAGGTGGTTGTTATTGTTTTAATAAATTGATTAGTCTGAAACTCACTTTAAAATACACAATCACTGTTGATATCTCTCAAAAATGTTTCAACATAAAAAGATTACATTATTATACACTTTCATAGTAAAACTACTTACTTTTCGTTACATACACTGAGCATAGAAATATCTTAAATTTTTATTACGATAGAAAGAGTTTTAAATTTCTCGGAAAACAATTTTAATAATTAATATCGTGTTACCTGATTTAGACAGTAACTACCGCGTAACATGGCGCGGGTTCGATTCCCGCACGGAACAGCTCTGTTTGATCCACAAATTGTTGTTCCGGGTCTGGGTGAATATTTTGGTAAAAGTGAATATTTATATATGAAATTGTAAGTTTGTAAACACATCCACGATACAGGAGAAGATCCTAATGTGAAACAAGTTTTTTCTTAAAAAGAGCTGGATCACCTGAAGATAGATTTATTAAGTTTAGGTCCTTTTTTGATTCCATGGTCAAAATTTACAAGTCAATATTTTATATTTTTTTAAAACTCCTTGAGCTCTGGTAATGTGCCGAGAAAGCCTGAACTCTCGAATCAGTGCTTAGTAATTGTCTAATGGAAGTATGTATACCTTTTATTTTATTTTTGGTGTTGGTGGAGTTTGATATTTTTATGACGTTTTAAACTATTCTTATTGAGTGTCCAGTAAGAGTTCAGGATACTGTAAGCAACCACATACCTATCCCATATCCTCCCAGCTATGATTCCGTCAATACGTACCAGAAAAACTCGTAATCTACCGCTCACACGATATTGTCATACAATATAATTGACAGTATGTGATTCCACCCGTAAAGGAACAATACTTGTCCAATGACACGAACATTGGCGAAAATGTAAGTTTCTTTAGATAAGTATTGATCCTGCTGTACTATATGCAGTATCCCGTACTATTTACTGGTCACCCTGTTTGCAACAACAAAGTAAGATTTTAGTGGACGTTTGTAATAATATTGTTTGAGTGTACGCTTATTATTTAACAAACATATCCAGTCATCTGAAGAGATAACGATACTTTTTGATCAGGGTCGAAAATAGGTAAAATATGCGAAACTAATAAAAAACATGTGTGTTTTTGCAAAGCTAGTGTTGAGAAAGGAACTGCGTATATCTTTTTTTTTCTCTTTGCTCAGTACTTAAATATTTTTGTTAAGATTTGGTGATGGGTGGTAGGTATAATAACTTGTTACATAGATTAAATAATAAATGTTGTGTTGTCCTTTGAGTTTTGTGGATTTGATTGTGGCTCATCGATTTTTATTGTGTTGCCCGCCCTTTTACATGTTACTTGTTACAAACAATTATAAGTATTTGTTTATGTGGGAACAGGTTCTTGAACTTTATTCGATTTTTTTCTTTATTAACTAGTTACCGTACCGTACTTACCACTTTCAAACGACGATGGTAAATAGTTTGCTAAAATAGAAGTGACAAAATCGCGTCAGCTTACACTTAATTAACTCTTTTTAACAACCTATTCATTAAATTTCTAAACAATATTCAATGCGATATGCAAAAATCTAGATTATGGAAATTAATGTTCGTTATTTTAAATAAAAACATCGAGGTTAGCTCGATCGATGCGGGCATTAAATCTAAACGTCCATATACCCAGACTGAAAATCAAGTTTAAAAGGATCTGGGTTCGTGATAGGATAATAGTTGTGATCCAGTTACGGCTGTACACAGCATGATTTTCCAATCTAAGGAGTCGATTGAATGAGTGCAATACTTAATAGGATGCACTCGGTTATCCAATTGTGTGCTAGATATAAATAGCTATCCTCGGTTGCATTGTCCGCGGCCTACTTTTCGCGAATTTTATTGTCTATTAGATGGTATGCATGGGTATCGGATGACGGTGCAATTTTTATGTGTTTGATTTGATATATCCATTAAACAATGTCATAGAAAAAGGTAGCAGTTTATTATTTTATTAGATAAAATGGTAAAAATACAGGTTGAAATGGAAACTCAAAACTACCCGGCGAGTGTTGTGTGTAATTTACTGGCTGTGATAAATATTAACCTACAGAAGTAGAGAGTTCACACATTAATTTTAATTACCTACAGGTCGAGTTAAGTACATGTAGGTGTAAGTAAGATTCAACTATTTATTTCATATATTGAGAACAGCTTGCAAATAGCCGGTTGATATTTTGTCAAGCGAGCATTCTGAGCAACAAAGTTGTAGAGAAATGAAACAGTCACTTGCTATCAATAAAGGTCAAACGACGTCAATTGTAACAGCAAACATTGATAATTAAGTGCAGCTTCTGCGCCCAATAGCACATTGGGCTCGCCATCGTACAAATATACTTTCTCTTTATTTACTATGTAGCTACATAGTTATCTCAAATATATCCTACACAAAAATGTTTATCGTTATTTTAACGTTAACATATTGTTAGTTGCGTAGATTTTTTTGTGAAGTAGTTACTGTAACGGATTGAACTACATTGATTCTCTTAGTTTAATTCATTACTTAACTTAATTAAATAAGGTTGTAATAGGGATTAAAAAATCTTATAATAAAAAACAGTTATGTATGAAGTTTGCCAATATATTTCAGCCCTCAGCCATCAATTCAAATTCTCTCCTACCGGAAGAGATTGCTAAGGAGATGAAGACTGAAGATCAGATCCTGGCGCAGCTGCGAGCGACACAGAACATGGGCCCGCCGCAGTCACAGCCGTTCATGAGTGAACTGCAGGGCCCCGCCCAGCCCACCGCCAATGCTGAGGACTGCTTCGCTACAAACGTCAGCGCTACTCCCAACCTGGAAGAATTGCATAAGCTTATCCAGAAGGAGACCCTGACTGGCCAGGCCCCAGTTAACAACGTGCCCGAGCCTGAGATCAATGAGCCACAGGTTAGTAATTAATGATATTTAATGCGTCCAAATCTTTAAATTTAAATATGAATTTTTACATTGTTTGTTTTGCGCAGTGACTAATTCAATTCATTTAACGTTCCAGCCCCCAGTGGCGAAGCCCGTGAAACCAGAACAGACTGTCAGCGAGACGAGCGTTATCATAGTAAAGCCTCTGTCTAACAAGAATGGCGCTGAAGTGAAACAGCAGAAACAGGCGAAAGAGGCCGACAAGACAACAAAAAACAAGGAGAATAATAACACGAAGAATAAGAATAAGAAATCAAAGGAAGAAAAGAAAGACGAAGTTGACAATAAGGTGAAAGAGGAAGAAATTGCAAAGGTCGAGGTAAGACAACTTTGCTATTTTATTTCTACGTTTTTGGAGTGCACTGTCCGTATTGTGATCGGTTTCGTGTACTTAGCGAGATGTATTTCGGTCATGTCGAACAATCCTTGCACTTTCAGCACGTTTCAGTTTGGTATCCGGTTGTAATTTTCATTCACTTCAAAATATACAATTAGTCCCGGTCAGTTTGATTAGACATCTTTTTCAAAGAACAAATATTAAAATTTTTATTTTTTTAACAGTGATTTTGTAATTGGAATACATAAATAATTTATTTAAAGCACAGTTTACACATGTAGTAAAGCAATATTATTTAAAGTATATGTTAAAATGTTTTTAAATTAATAAATTAATTAATTTACGTACCAAAAGTAAGGGCTAGTAAATGTTATCATCCTTATTATCTTGCACCTCCCGAAAGCATGGGTTATGGTTACAATAACGGTAACGGCTTACGTGTTTCGAAGCTATTTTAAAGAATGCACTCAAATATATAACATTAACAAACGATTTTTTATGACCAGACGTAATTAGTATAGTAATATTGCACAATATGCTCAAAAATCAATAGAAAAACCACTTTATTTGATATTATTCAATTTACTTACATTGAAGTAGCAGGCCGCTATATTATCACGCCGGGTTCCAACATGAATCTGTCGAACAAATTGATGCTCGACCTAAGGTCAGCTAGCGGGCGCAACGAGAGCCTTGCAATATACAGCCAATTTAGACTCGAAAGTGAATCATTCGGTCTTAGGACGCCTTGCGAAGGACCGTCGCGTCTAACTGTAAGACTTGCTTTATTTACGTTTCTTTGAAATATGACTGACAAATCGATCCCTTTTCATTCTATTTTCAAATTTTTAGTAAAACGATGGTACATAAAAGTAACTCAAGATAATGTTACTTTATATATGAAATAGAAACCAATACTGCAATTATGATTATGATTGTGGATCAACCTACACGTACCTAATACAAGCCATCCCAAAATAGATACATAATTTGTTTACTGAATTTCAACTTTATTTTGTAACAGTAGAGTATGCATTCTTTTTAATAACCTAATAATATTGTGACGTCGGAGTATGATACGACATTATTGTTCAATCGTGTCGTCCTGTCGTCCGAACACTTTATGTGCATAATGTCTAACTAAAGGCTTTAACAAAATTTTTTTAAGTGATTAACACGAAATGTTTTAACAGAAAAGATCACAGGAACCATCGCCGTCCAAGAGCAAGAAAGAAGAAAAATCCAATAAGAAAGACATTGAGAAAGAGAAGAAGGTAAATTAATTTTATATTTGAATCTGATTCGTTGCTTCACCAAGCAATTAATCATAGTAGAGCAAAGTTACCACATTAACTTTGCTTGAAATACATAATGCTACAGTATTCGACACAGCTCTTGTATTTACTAGGCCCGTTATAATCATATTATAGCCATGCATTATGCAATATAGCTAATTTTGTTTATCAATAGCAGTATGTTGATTATTTTTTTAACGATATAAAGTCAGTGGCAGCCGCTTGGCTTTGTATTTTGAGTACAGCTTATTGTTTGTCACCTATACTTGTTTTTGATGTTTGTTGATTGTTTCCTTCGTGTGTGTTGTGTAGGAGTGGATCAAGGAAGGCTTCACTATCGTGAAGGGGTCAGAGAAGAGCTCGAATAAGGATAGTAAGAAGAAGGCGGAGGAAGCGCGCGCCGCTGACGAGGCTGAGCGTAAGAGGTGAGTAGGAACAACATACACATGAACACAGTAAAACATCATTAAACAAGAAAATTTAGACTATTACTGTACCCCTACCATGGACTAGACACACATGACACTCACGTAAATGCTGTGCTTTCTGGTCACAACATTTGTGCTTTCAAGTAATTGTAAGCTTAAACAATGGTACATCATGCAAGCAAGTCTAAGTAAAGCTGGCACATCTAGACTCGACCTTTTGCAGGTGTAATAGTACCAATAAAGGTATATGTCACTTGTCAAGGTTGTTACTGGCGAGTTCCTTGTCAACATAAGTGACTGTTTTATCAAATTCAGTGCCTACATATGAATGTTTGTGTTTTAATAGGAAAGAGGAAGAGAAATTAGCTTCTGAGGAAGAAAAGAAAAAGAAGCAGGTGGAAACGGCTAAGAAGCAGCAGGTGGGTTTTTATTATAAGAAAAATCTTAATTTTATTTATGTAATCATTACTTTATTACCTACATGATTTTCTCCAGTATAGTTATGTCATTTCATATATAGTCCGTTTTTTAATAACACATTTGTAGGTATATCACTTAATCTATTCTATGAAGCGTAATAAATGGAACCATTTTTTTGGTTTTAGGCTTTATGTATTGTAACTTTTATATTCATTCTTTTCTTATTGGGGTTTTAGTAAGTATGGCTAATTGAAAAACGGACAATAATTATTAAAGTATTAGAAACGTTCTGTTAATTCTATATAGAATTAACAAAACGTTTATATAATCTATTTAGAATTTCCATAAATGTTTTCCAAAAAAACTAACAATATGTATTGTTACCTAAATCAAAATTACCAACCAATAATAGTATATATGTCACCGGAAAATAACAAGATCCGTAAGTTTATCAATTTACTAGGAAGTTTATAAACTTTCGTAAGATTCTAAACGGGAGATAAATTGTAATATTTTACGTCCAAATTTTCGTAAATTGATAAACTTACTGAACTCACTCGTAAAATAATAAGTAAGCAGTAAGCAAACGCTACGCGCGATCTGATTGGTTGGCTGTCACGTGTCACTTCTCCTTCCTCGCAGCCGCCGTTGCTGGCCACGGAACTGTATTTTAGCAAGTAACTGTTAAATAGCTTATTGAAACTGATAATAGAAAACTCAACTCACGACATCCGTGCTAGAGAGGAACCAGGCATTGTTGCTTCCAATTTATAGTTTGTCAAGTCTGATTATTCCAAAGTCTATGGACACAAGCGTTGCCACTACGAACATTGACCAATCAAAGAGCAGTGTTTTATTTTACGTATTTCAAATAGCGTATATTTAAAAGTTTCTGTGATTGGTCGAACCATATAAAATCTTACGAATAGATATTCGTTAGTTTATAAATTTACCGTTTAACGGCGGAAATTGATAAATTTACGAAAATGTGGACGTAAAATATTACAATTTATCTCCTGTTTAGAATCTTACGAAAGTTTATAAACTTCCTAGTAAATTGATAAACTTACGGATCTTGTTTTTTCCGGTGACATATAGATCTTTCAGCTATCAAAGTTTTTTAAATACTTATTTGCGCTCATAAACTACTGTAGGCGTCGTGTTTTTATGTAACAGTAAATTAGTTACAATATGCGGACGCTAAGTATAAAGTATTCTATATTTTTAACTTAAAAAAAATATTCGAGACATCAGCATTGTCACTACGATATGCGTGCCAGGATTAGTAGTTAAACTCACTACTTTTTTGCGTCATATATTGTATATATTAGCAAGAAAAATCACGGAAATTCATGTTTTATTTCCTACGTTTAATGGTGGTGAAATTTAATGATTTCCAACCAAATCATCATCCGTATGAGATAAAAACTGAGCGATGGTGTTATGTGGCTTTATGATTACAGGAACAACAGGCGCAGCAACAACAACGCCAAGCGTCCGAGTCGGTAATAAAGAAGGCTCCGTGGTCCTCCGTCACTAGCCAAACCATGCAGGCCACTAACAAGGACGGACTCACGCTCGCAGAGATACAGCGACTCGAACGTGAGAAAAAGCTAGAACAGATGAAGGAACAACAGCAAATGATGCAAATCATTGCGCAACAACAAGCTGCCGCTCTTGCCCGGGAACAGGTCGGATTTCCACTTTCGCTTCGAGGTTGAGCTTTGTACAGAAGATTAGACATTAAGTTTTACAATTTCTAGTAATTAAAATTAAAATTTTCATTTAATCGATTTTTTTCCTCGTAGCTAAGTAACTATTAGTGATAATGCTTATCGCACGGTTTGTTAACCAACTGTACAGTATGTGTTAAAATATATGTACACTGCAACGTTTAATTGCGATTATCTCCAGAAAAAACGAAATAGAAAAAAATATTTCTCTTTTATCTCATAAAAAATATATAATTTATCATAACACTGGATATAATCGCAATTAAACCCTCATTATTAATAACAACTGCAACTTGTCTATTTAATAGGAAAATAACAAAGTGTGTTGTTTATATAATACAATCAGGGTCACGTTATTATATGTTTTTCACAAAATATTTACTAACCATGGTGCCTGTGGTATTAAATCGTGTGTTGGGTGGTTGGATATTTGTAATTGTTTGAAAATTAAATATACTTGTGTTAATAGACGGTGTAATATGACAGGCGTATTTTTATTGTGTTGGGTTGGCTTCTTTATTAACTATATAGGCATAGAATGCGTTTATCTTTACTAACACGGTGTGATATTATGATACCTTCGCTGTGTTCGTGTGCTGCTTAATGCATTTATATTGATGTTTGGTGTAGCTTATTCTGTGTCTTCTTTCTATAGGAAATGCAGGCCGGACTGGGTTGGGCCAAGAAGAAGGGCAACAACCAACCGCAAGGCCAAAGTTTAACTGAAATCCAGGTTAGTTTTAGTTTATTTCTTACTAGCAGACCGCTCCAGCTTAGCCCGGGTTATATATCTCGTAGTAATATATAATATACCAGCCTCTGCCTAAAGATAAATAACATGACAAAAAAGAACTAATTCGTTTCAGTCATTCGAAATAGAAAAAAAAATTTGGTGGTAATATTTTAATAGAGTAAACTACATGTTTTTTCTTCATTTTATGCTTTGAGATGCTATAGATGTTCCGCTAAATATTTTATGAAATTTATGATGTTATTTTTAGATGAAATTCAAATATTCAAATATGTATTTTAAGTTAGGCTTGCAGTTCAGTGTTGCTTAAAATACTGTTGTACACTAGTACAACCAGATTTCAAATTCCTTATGCAAATCCATTCAAAGAGTGTCTGGATAAAATTGCCGCCCACCTACTCATATTTTTGTGTGTATAAGTGGTGTTACTTAAAATTAAATGTGATAAGTTGAAAGGCGTGACTATAGTGTTTATGTGACTTATTGTTTAGTACCTCAAGCTATTTTTGTATCTGATGAAAATAGAAGCTGACCCAATAATAAAACATTTTCTTTGATGTTTTTATAGGTATTTAAGTGCAGCTCAAATGAAGAGTTATAATAGCGTTAGAATAATACGTTTCTTTTTTGTGTGTAGTTTTAAAGTCGTAACTCCAGTCTACTCGGAGCTTCAGCACCTATGGGCCGACTGGCGTCCTGCACGCGAATTGTAGGTGGTTTCTAAGTATTTTATGTGACTAAATATGTTTGTTAATGTAGGCGGAGACCCGCAAGCAAGCCATGGCTGCAGCCGTGGCAGCTGCAGCCGCCGCTAAAGTTGTTGAAGAGACTGAGGCCGCCGCAGCCCCACCGCAGACTAACCACGCCCCATGGGCCAACACGCATAATGGAGGTATGTTTCGTATGTCGTAACTTATGCTTGTGGATAAGTTCTAGTTATTTTCTTGTCAAATCGGTTACATAAGTTTTATTACCTTATTCGTTTTGATACTAGTGTCTAACGAGCCCGTTAATTAGGCAGCGGACGATAGTGCAAAGAGAATCCTATCTACTAATGCACTTTGTGGTAAAAAGAGTGCACCGTTCCGTGTTGTGTGGTTTGGAAGACAAGAAATCCACTAGGTTTTTAGTGTTTTTTGCCGATCAAAAGCAGCTTTAATAACACTATACTTTCTTTACAGTGGTTGGATTCTGGGACACCCAGCCTAATTCAGCGAAGGAGAAGAACAATGAGACTCCTAAGCCGGCCGAGTCTACCGGCGCCAGGTCTAAGAAGAAGCTGACACTTGCCACGCCGTTGAAGAAGGACACGGCTCCCGCCATTGAATTCGAAGCTTGGTGCACCAATGTGCTCTCTTCATGGAGCTCGAAAATTGATGGTAAGTGATCATCATCACGTAATAGCAATAACAATCCACAAGCAATTTCGCCCGCGTAGTCACAACCATAGGATATACAACATTGTTCGTTTAATATTTACAGATATGTTAAAGAAATATCTCAAGCGAAAGAAGTTGTATGTAGCATGGCTAGTTTAGCTAAACACTAATACAATGCGGAATCTTTTTTAAGTAACAACATCCTAACAGATCTATTAGTAAACTAAACATTCCAGAAAAGCAAATCCAAGAACTTTTTCTAAGTTACACTTTCGATGGTTCCTAACTAATGAATGAATTATTTTGTCCAAAATATTGGATTCAAAATGCATGCTGATAACAGCGTTTAAAACGAACTTCTGTTTTACGCGCTTAGTGTAGCGTCTAGTGCTGTCATAGTCTAGTGAAGGACCTATTCCTTTCCAGGAATAGGCCCTAAGGTAGACTATGACTCTTAAGATGCACCTAAGAAATACGTGTACATCTAGTTTCAGATTATTGTAAACCGCAGATTCAATTGTACTTTAAATAAAATACTGTTTTGCCCTAATGCGATAGTTTGGAACCCAGAAATTATTAATGACCAACTGAACATGATGCTTAGCTGCAATTTAGTTTTTTATGCGACTTTAATATTTACGCTACTTGACATTAAATTTGCTTGCGCGTGCTTTGACTCTTGTCATTTTTTATAGCCTGTGCATCATAAATTATCTCCTCTCTACTGACATTACTGAATTCCTTTTCGATAGAGTTTTGGGCAGAAATATGCATTTTACATGTGATACACAGTTTTAGCATTTAAGTCGTATATAACAGCGAGTAAGCCTATTGCGATATTAATGTGAACTGTTTAAATAATTTTGAAAACTTCAAATACCAATAATATTTGCCAATTTTAAAATCGAGTTTACTCTAACCTATTGTTTTCAAGGACGGGTGGGAAGCCTTTGTTACTTTGTATCTTTGTCTTTGTTTGCACCCACGGCATGGCAAAAAGTCTAAAGCCAAGTTTAATCGAGTTAGCTATACTCAATCAACATTACACCATGCCTTTTAATCTTCAAAAGCAAAAGCAAGCATTTTAAGTAGAAGACCCAGTACGCGAATGTATTGCATATTCAACGCACGACATCAGTAAACGTGCTGTATTTTCGAAAATTAAACAATTCTATTAGACATTGCCATTGCGAATACTCATCAAGCTATAGTTTTTAATTGTATTATTTATATACATATTATGTACTTAGAATTAAAGTAAAAAATATGGCTGTCGCATATTTTGCGTAATATGGTGCAGTTGTATCCATACCCGTTTAAACAATACGGATTATCTCATGCTAAATAGCTAGCGATAATTACTGAGCATTATTATGATTGAAACAATGTATCAGTAAAATATTTATACATTATTTTAAGTGTAACTGCAGCTATACTGCACAGAAGCGAATATCAAAAATGCTTGTCATTGTGCATGGGATCAAGCATTTTGTTAAAACATACCTATTGAACTAATCGTTAAATTTATTTTTATATTTCTTATTTCAGTACCAACATTTGTTGGCTTCCTGAAGGACATTGAGTCACCTTACGAGGTGAAAGATTACGTCAAATGCTACTTGGGCGAGTCGAAGGAATCCAACGATTTCGCTCGCCAGTTCTTGGAGAGAAGGTAATGACTGCCATAACAGATAGGAACGCATTAAACTCTTAAAGATTATCTAAATTTTTATATTATTTTGTAACAATATTACCCTTCTATGTAGTAATATTGTTGAATTTTTCAGGTCTAAACTTCTCCGCGTCGGCATGGTGACGCCATCCGATGACCTGTGCTCCCCTGCCATCGCGGTGAACCCGCGCACTACCTCCGGCTCTGACTACCAGGAGGTCAAGGGCAAGGGGAAGAAATCTAAGAAGAATAAGATGCTGAAGGTCGACGTGCGCATACTGGGATTCTCAGTGACTGCCGCTGAAGACCGCATCAATGTAGGCGACATCGACACCGTGTGAGGTATCGGCGCCTACCCTCTCGTGTTCACTCTTAACTCGCCTTGTGATAGCCCATCGGAGATATAAACGCTCGTGTCGATACTTACTCTTAATACGTTCGATGCCCCCGGGTGACTCAGCGTCGGCATCGCCCGCTGGTATCCATCGAGCCTGCTCGCGAGGCTGCGTCACCCCATCGCACACTAATCCTCCTCGAATCAATAATACAACGCGCTTACGCTCTCAAGCAGTCTGTACATATAGCTGGCGTTGACAATACATCGCGACACTAAGTACTTGTTGTATTTAAGTCTTTAAATACTGCTAACCGCAGTTACACCATATAATGCTTTTAGAAATTCACCGTATTGTTCATAAGCAATCAATAAATCCACTATAGCTGTGGAATGTTCAATTGACTCTTTCTTGCTACCAATTTCGGATTTGACTGATAAAGAAAACATTCCATAGCTAAACTAGTTTTATGATTGTTATGAATGATATTATTATAATTTATAATACTTAGTGTCTTATAAAGCTGTGTCGTCAGTGCCACCTAATATATTTTTCTAGGTTTAAGTATCGTAAGAATTTGTACATATGTATTATTGAGTCGAGGCTTACTACTGGCTGTCAATTTCATGTTCATTACTTTTCTAAGCTGTGTAAAATCTTGAACAAGGTTACCGATTTATTTTAATGATAGTAATAAAGTGCAAGCAGAATATAATCAAACATTCGCGTTGCCTACTGCATGTCCATAGTATATACATCTTGGAGTCTCGTCACGCCGGTTTTGTACAGCTTCATTAACACTCAACGACGCTGGGGCGCAGGAGGCGGTCGTGCGGAGAAGCGCAACGCGAATGTTTCATTAACGGAATAGTTGTAAAATGTATCCGCCAGAGTAACCGTTCGAGCCAGTCAGTATTTTGGCCATAGGAAGCACATGTCAACTCGTCACTTAGCTAGTGCATAATAAACCACCGTAATATTGTGCCTTCAGTGTTTTCTGGCAGTTGAATGAGTGGAGGAGTGTCATCTTTGAAGCGTTTATTTTGCGTCTTCAATAATATTCATATTTCTGGCATATCGCAAATAATGTGTTAGCCGTTATACAAACACGTTCTTGGATAGTTGTGACTGCAAATTGTGTAATCATACATGTGACAAAAATACGATTAACCTCAATCATATGATTATCAGAAACCAATCTATAAAACTGGGGAGCCACTAAATGAAATATTCGTGTGTTAGTCGAAATATACCATGATAATTATGCTTCGTGTATATGTTACACTTAAAACTTTAATTATATTGAATGACATAGTTGTGGCGATGCGCTTTGATTGACGTGCTTGTGTACTTAGGTTTAAGTTCGCCTGGCCGTAACTAATGACTGCCCATTTATCGTAGCTTCAGCGAAGGGGTTACAAACTACGTTGTCCTACTTTTAAACATAATCATGGAACCGATATACCAGTGGCTCAGTACCACTCCTCAGTGTTCTAGTCAATTTCTACAATAATAAATGATAATGAATTTCGTGATAATCCACAAATGAGATTCTGGTATAATGACTGTAACTCCTAAAATAAGCACGATTTTATTGATTTTTTAAGTACCTAATGTCAGTAAATTATGGAAATTAATTCAGTAAATTATCTTTAATGAAATGATGTGCAATGATTTTATCACAACAGTTTTAAATAAATATTTATTTTGTAATATATTTTGGGCTCAGCCTGCGTGGCTGTTTATTTTGCTCATTTTAAACATAATGAATGTTTGTCACGTTAGTAAGTTGCAATGCATACCCACCACGTGAACATTTCGCAATTAATGTTTCAATGATTGTGTTCATGTTGATTCAGTAACAATATTATGTTTTAATAACTAATGTTTTAACTTTCGGCAATGTATTTAATGGGTCATCCAATATTTTCAGAGCCTTCTATTTATTAAAATTCGTGTTTTTTTAATTTAATATTAATCAGCCGCAATTTTATCTGCATGCATGCATTGAAGTGTTTTATTTTAGCTTTATTCTAGATTTGGCCCTTTTTTAAATTTTATCGGATTAATATTATTTACTTTGTCCCAGTTTGCCTCGCCACTGACATAATTCTAAGTTGTCCAGTCATTGTTAAAAACAATGCTCTGTATAATGAATACTTAGGACTATTCGAGGCAAGCTAGTACAGACTGAATAAATAGTTGCAAAAACTACTGCTCTATACAAAATTATTTTACGGCTATACCGGTTTTAGTTGGTGGTTTTAACCTCAGAAAATAAGCACGCGCTTATTAAGTTTTATTTTAATTATCTTTTCAAGCTCGACTTAATTTTTTTTATCGCCTCAAGACCTTTGCACAAATTATATTACTAAATTGTAAATATTTTAACTCTTCTTGTATTTACTTCTAAATGATTTCAAACTATGCTGTGGAATTGTTCGTAGCGTCTGTTTTCTCAGGACGTATACCCATAAACTTAATTCGTATATGTAAAGTATTTCGTCGGAGGTACTATGTGAAGGGTTTTTGAAATTATTTATTTTAATTTATGTACCTACTAACATTTTCTTACAATCTTCTGTACATACGGCGACAATAGGTTTGTATACCTGATGGGGTAGTATAATGTTGTGTAAAGTTTCGCACCTACTAATGTTAACTTCTTAAATGTCTAATTTGTGTATAGTTTGTTTGGTAGAAATTGTTTATGGCCCATTTTTTTTATTTAGTTTAAAGTTCGAACTACATCATAAGGATTTTAATAGCATTTTATATATACTGGCTGTCCTTGGAAGTATGGATCAAACCGAGCAAGGGCACAGAGATCGTTATTTATTAACTTTTCATCTGACAATGTTGGTCATATTCCTAACGGTTCCTAAGTTACGTTCATATTTTGTTTTGTTGATTGATTTTTCTTATGCTTAGAGAACTGATCACAAACAAATAACAAGCAGGTGGGGTAGCAATATAGTTTTTATTTTAAGAGACTATACACACAGTTGCTCTTTTCTAATCATACTTTTACTCAGTAAAATGTAATAATCATCTAGTATCGTGAATGTTTTTCTGATACTTATATGGTCTCCTTTTCCTACAAGAATCTCTCGATAGTTAAATAAATTTTCGTCAAACCGAACCTTTGTAGTAGACACAGTGTTTGATTATAATTAAAAATCACTTAACAGAATAAAAATTCGTAGTTACTTCTGGAACATTAATAATTAGGCCAAATGCACGGTTGGAGCAGCAGCTAGGCAATTGGCTGCTGTGCAACTGGTCGCGGGTTTATTTCTCTTTCGAAACAATACTTTTTGTTATCCACAAATTGTTGTTACATATATATTATATTCCCAGATGAAAGGTTAGGAATTGCTCTCCTCTATACCCCTGTTTGATTTGATCCTTACTTCCAGGGACACCCTGTATATTAAAACAATTTTAAAATATTATCTAATTGTTTTGTATATACTTTGTTTGTTATCGAGCATATTTTGTAGTTAATGTATGAACTTGCTGATTTTTCTTCTTTTTAATTTCCTTTAACTATGCGATATTACCGAGTTCTGAGGGACTGTTAGCATTTATTGGCTCTGTGACTAATAGAATGACAATCTCGGTGCGTCGTATTTGTGTAACAAGGTAAGACGCTAAATTGGAGTATGTTGACGATGTGTTTTTATATAGTTAGGCGAAACTATCATAACATTTACTGTGTTGTGCGTGACGTTAAACTCAACTTACGTAGACAGTTTGTGTGACGACGGGGCTTGTAACCGGTGATATTAAGCCAGTCGTATTATTTAGCCTGTTGCCATTATCTTTATAGTAAGACGTATAATGACAATACAAATTGATCAAATTAAACAGTAACTCGCTTAAGACAAAAATGCGTAACATTTAACAGTATGTACATCGTGAGTTTTTGGGATTTCTTTGGGACGGAGATTCAGAGATCGGATATTGTGAGGTCCAGTCAACCTCACAATGTTTGCAGTTGCTGCGCAATTATTTCTATTTTCGTCCTAAAGTCCTGGCAAAAGCTCATTATGTGTTTTAATTATTCAGATTCATATAATAATGTATTTTATTGGATGGTTCGTAGTTTTCAAATATTTCTGTGTGTATTTATCTCAATTGTATCCTATTTAATAACAATATAATATTGCAGTTATCGTCAAAATATTTCGCCATAAGTGTAGTTTTGAAGATGTTTGTCTATATGATATGAACTTTATTATATTGTGTTACTGGATATTGATAAAGTAATTAATCACTACAGCTCAGGTGATACGTAATCGACGGTAGATACATTTAAGTTTACCGTCATTTGCATTTCCCGACAATCTTAAAGTAGTGTTGTAGTATATTTCTTATATGCCGATTAGAAATGTGTTTTGATTTTACATAATAATAGATCTAAATATTTATAAATAACACTGTCTACTCATAGGTGTGTAACGGAACAAATCAATTCGTATATTATACTCAGCTCGCTAAACAATTCCGACTATTTGTATTGTCAATCAAAATCAACGACTTTCTCCTGTTTTAGACGAAACCTTCAGAGACTCTGTGACGTAACAATCTCACACAAATATCTGTATTAGCAATTGACTCATATAAAACTATATTTTTAGAATCTATGAATTAGTAGTCACCGCGGTTTCGGGGCTCATATTTTAGGAATCTTTTCAACCGTATCAAAGCTCCAAAAGAGTTTTATTTTAAAAGTTTCATGTAGACAAAATAATGTATAGTACAAAGGGGGCGTGCGTGGGCCGTTGTCAGCAGTAATGTACTGCTTCGACTGTTAGCGTATGATCTGTAAAGCAATACTTGTCTCCCAGAGACTCTACTCATTGTTCTTCGTCACTTGGTGGCGACAGTTAAAAGGGCACGTCAAAGACAAAGCAAAGCGCCTTAGGAACTGTCACGAGGAAAGTGTATGGAGATCCCGCTTATTGTCGGGTCTCCCTGCTAGGCCCCCTTTACGAGGCGGGCCCGGAAGAGCCGGGTCCTGCGTCGTGTAGTTCCATGTCGCGTGGAAACGATTAATGCTGATAAAATGATTTGTTTTAGAATCGTTACTAGTTTGTTATAAAAAACACCTTGTCTTCTACTCTTCATAAGTTGACACTTCGGGACTGAATTAAATTCATGAGTAAATTAGTGTTAAAATTTCTACATACATTAACAATGAATGTGAATGAGTACCTAGCGCTCACATTGATGTGTGTTGATGTCGTATTTTACCCTTGTGGAGATAACTCAAACTTTCAGGCTGTATGTTGATATGATTATATTTATTTATTTCGCGTGGCGGCCGGTACGCCGAGAATTAGCAAAATGTATTGTTACTTAGTGCATTCGGTGGCAGTTTTTGTAATGACAAAGGAATTATTGTAATATATAGTATTTGCTTTTGACCTAATTACATTTATTTCGATTTCAATTTGTGAGGAGTTATCACTGGCTTATATATATATATATATATATTATCATGTTCAAACCACAAGGTCCACTACATCCATAGCAATCAATCGTTACTTTCATCGGGCTACAATAGTGGGAGTGTGCAGGCCGCCTATTATAATTTTCGTCAAAAAATGTACCATACAGCCTTTGCCTAGCATCTCTTGTAGGGTAATAAATGAAGCAATAAGTGTATGTATGTACTGATGTTGTAATCTTTAAATGTTAACTGTTTCGATTTATTATATGGAAAATATGTTTTACTTTATGAAGACGTGTAAATATTAAAATAGAAATAAATGATAAAATAATGATCACTGAATCTTGGAGTTTTTTTACATTTTTTTTAATGTTGTCCCACACTTGTTTTTACTCTTGTGTTCTTGTTCGCTGCGCGTATCGACGATCCACCGGTACGTGTCTCTACGCCGAGGCTGTAAAAGGTATGCTTGCGAGGCACCTAAATCTTGCAAATTAGGATGATTACCTATGACAAGGAGAAATAAAGTTGAGTTTACCCCCTTTTATCTGCGTTCAAAATTTAGGTTCGGTGGTTCAAGCCGCGACTGGATAGTGATTTAAAAACTTCTCCATACACGCGTCTCTACAAATAAACCTCAAGCATGTCCATTATCGGCGATGATCAATTAACATCAGGTGATCCGTATGCTCGTTTGCCTCCCAAGTATAAACTTACTTTAAAAAACCATGCAGCTAAGTAGGTAACCACCAGCCGTCCACTACTACAGCTGCTGCTGGTTTCGTGTTTTTGACTACTTACCTTTACAATGGAGGCACCATTAAAATTTCGTGAGTCCATTAACTATTGGATGAAGTGTTTTGACAACAGCGTCATATGAGCAAAAGCTACAGAATATTGAAATTGCAGTTAGCAATTTAACTCGACTAGTTAACCTTGGCGGCTTCAAGCTGTGATGTGTCAGATTCAACTCTGCAAAAGGGGTTCGACGATGGTTTGGTGGTACAATACCGCCAACGTATCTTGGCGAGTCTGAAGTTAGCCGATTAGCTGCGCTGTTCACAATTTTGTTCCTAAAAGATCCATTGTGCAGACAAACGGCTAACTTCAGACTCGCCAAGATACGTCGGCCGCACTGTACCCAAACTGATCATCGATGTTTTATTTTGTCAGGGGAAAATCATTAAGTGACCTTTTCCGCCCAGGGTAAGTCGAGAGAGAGTGTCAGACTCTTACTGACTAAAAACCCCCCCGTTCCTTCAGTTCTGGGCCGAGGCCGCGGTGACTCATTGCGCATGACCCCGGCTGAACAACAGCCCTATAGGGCCCCGTCTGTAGTGGTCTATTGGCGCATTATAACGCTGAACGCTGCGCGCTCTAGTCTGGATCTGGTCGGGTGGCGAGCAACCCTTACTTGCCGTCCGCATACCCGCGCTTACGGTGGCCGGAGATCGTCCCTCGATCCCCGAGACCCGGACTGCTGCGGTGGTTGGGGCTTGAGGAGCATAGGTCCCTTACGCGCTCCGCCCCCTTCTTTGCGAGCATCACTGCTTCGCAGAAAGAGGAGACGGCTGGTCGCAGAGGTCGCCGCCGCCGATCATTTCCCCGAGTACATGGCGGTGCCCAGCCCAAGCAGGGCACACCGCCATTGCATGCTCCACTGTACCCTCAGGGTAATCCTCTGAATGACAACACTCGGTCGTTTCCTCCCGATGGATCCGAAACAGGAACCTACCGAAGCTAACATCGATGTTAGGTCCATCGAAATTTTCACCAGAAAAAAAAATTACCGAAAAGTGTTTTGAATGAAATTTAATTCACAAAATCGCTAATTCAAAACTAGCAGTCCGGCTCAGTTTCGTCATCGTGCTACCTGATGCTCTACGTTTGTCATGCGGATATTTTTTATTAGGTAGGTACTATTTGGAACCTTTTGATCCTTTGATAAATCACAGTGACCAGTTAACTAAAATTCGCGGGTTACTCACGTGTAAATGTTGAGAAAAGCTCTACTAGTTTCGAACCACAGAGGGGTTCTTCCTCATGAGCAGCGTGCGCGGACGCGGCGACGTCGCGCAGCCTACCGCGCGTCCGAATTTTAGTTAATTTAGTATGTCTCACGATAGTTATTATAAAAACACAGTGACCAGTGCTTATACTTTGTACGAAAATGGCCAAATGAGATGACAGTTGCAGACTGATTCATTTACTTAATTTTTACCTAAAACCCTGGCTCCAAACTGGTTGAAAGTAAAACACAAGTATACAGTATTAGGTATAATTTTATAATTGTTTTTCGACAAGCCAATTAATATATCATGTTTTCTAGGGTTTCTTACAACAGCACGGTGGACGACGACGTTTCTTTTTGCAGCAACACTTCTTTCTGCGCTTGCGACGACAGCTTCGGCGGCGGCTGCGGCGGCGGCTGCGGCAGCGGCTGCGGCGGCGACTCTTGCGGCTGCGGCCGCAGCCCATTCCACGCGCCAGGTTCGCTACGTATCGCTTGCCGTGCCGGTCCAGAAATCCTAGCACCGCACTCCTCTTCAAAGTCTCTTCAGCCTTCGTAGTTAACATATTCGTTTTCCATACATTGCCAAACTTATCCTGTAAGTAATTTGTTATCTGCGATGCCGTCGCGCCATCTTTGTCAGCCACTTTGTAGAAAGCTGTGATTACCAACTTTGCAGTGTTTTGATCTTGCTCCTGTCGAAAGTTGCCACGCGACATTCTAATAGTTTCTGATTTCTCTCTTTCATAGGAATTTACATTGTTTCTGTACTATTAGGAATTTGCGATAACCGTAAAATATACATAAAATTAGTTACCTAAAAGTCAATACTAAAAATGGATCAAATTTACCTTGTCACTGTCATATTTCTTTTTATTAATTGTCTACTGTTTTTATGAACCAGTCTCACGATACAGGACTTATATCGAACTGAGCTGTCGATATCCACATTATTTACAATCAAGGGGATTTACACATTCCCATAGGGTTGCTTCCACACGCGTATAACCGTGATTTCGACAATCTCTGGAGAGGCGTAGGTTCACGCTTGCCGGATCACCTCCATGTGTTCTGGAGGCGAACACGCTTGCAAACGTTTTTAATTTGCGTCGCCGGGGCGAAACTCTGCTACCGCACCAGGTGATATTGAAAACACACATACAATTTGTATAAGTTCGTTGTATGTCTGCCAGTCAATCATTATTTATCTTGGCCTATTTTCTAATAAGAAATTCTACCAAAGAGTGTAGGTATTAAAACATAGAGTCTTGTTTTGGCGTAGACAGTGTTTTGGCATTCGTATGCTATAAACAATTTTGACACCTCCCTGGATATAATGAAATTTTTTATTTATTTTTTACTGATTATGTAGGTCCATTTATTTAAAATCATTTATACATATTTATCTTATTTTTCAAAATGGAAAAAGGTCATCCGGTGAAGAGGGACGTGGCTCAGAAATCGGTGTCGGTGTTCACACCGGGCAAGATGATAATGAAATATCTCCAGGAAACTAAGTCGGGGGCTACAATTGATGAGATCGTGCGGCACCTTAGTCGCGAAGTTGGTGAAGAGTCACAAGAACTGGCGAGAACAGTGATGTTTATTTTAGAAAACGGAACAGCATTAGGATTTTTGGAGAGGAATGGTGCACATTCTGAGAACTTGGCGTTACGGGAAGCGAAGTGCAGGCGTCGCCGGCGTCGCAGCTGCTGCCGCCGGCGCGGCTGTCGGCGGCGGCGTCGCAGCTGTCGGCGACCTCGCAGTTGTTCGCGACGTAAACGAAGAATCCGCCGAAGACGTAGTTGCAGAAGACGACGCCGTCGCTGCTAAGAAACACAAAAGACCATCTCAAGTAAACGCATATGAAATGCCTATTTAGATAGTGGCGACGACATAGGTATGACATTTTTTCTACTCAATCGTCTTGGATAATAAAACAGCTCATTTATGTATATTTGATACTTTTATTTAAATACATGCATACTGATACAGATGACAGGAAGATAGTAAAAGCTATATGAGTATAACTTTTAATTAATTTCTACAAAAAAGTATTGGGATAAGTCAGGTTAAATTCCTATTTAAATTACAATGTGGCACAATTCTTTTACAAATAATTATTAAGGTCCTCTGGGTTGTGGTGGCTCGAAGTTTCTCAAGTAAGGGGTCGAAACCTGGTACAAGTGACTTTTTCTGAGTTATAGTAACTTTTAAATTAATTTTGACATCACTGACAAACTGTGCAGGAAAACATCGAGTGGAACCCAGTAAAAATTTGAAATCGCGAATCCGCCTTGAGCTAGTATGGGGATTAATGCTCTAACCTTCTCCGTGTGGAAGGAGGCCATTGGTCAGAAATGGGAAGTTATAAACTCACGATGAAAATGGCTTTTTTTTTTTGTGAGGGGAAAATCATCAAATGACTTCTCCCGCCCAGGGCCGGGCAGGAGGGAGTGTCAGACTCTTACTGACTAAAAACCCCCCTGTTCCTTCTCCTGCTCTGTGCCGAGGTCGCGGTGCCTCATTGCGCTTACCCCGCAACCCCGGCTGAACATCAGCCCTTTAGGGCCCCATCTGTGGTGGTCTAATGGCTCTTTGAGGCGCGCGCGGAACGCTACGCGCCGTACGCTCGGGCCTGGTTCTGGTCGGGGGCGAGCTGCCCTTACTCGCCGACCGCAGGCCCGTGCTTACGGTGGCCGGAGATCGTCCCTTGATCCCCGACGCCCGTAGTTTCGCCAGTTGCGGCTGCTGGGGCGTGAGGAGGAGGATTGCTCCATCACGCGGGCCGCCTCTCTCTTTGCGAGCATGACTGCTTCACAAAAGGAGGAGACGGCGTCCCAGTTCCTCTCACTCCGCACCATGGCCTCGACTAAGGCCGGGCGCGAGAGGTCGCCGCCGCCGATCACTTCCCTGAACATACGGCGGTGCTCAGCCCAGGCAGGGCATACCGCTACCGTATGCTCCACCGTATCCCCTAGGTGATCCTCACAATGACGACACTCGGGCGTTTCCTCCCGCTGGATCCGAAACAGGAACCTACCGAAGCTGCCGTGCCCGGTAAGCACCTGCGTCAGACGGAAGGTGAGGACGCCGTGGCGTCTCTCAAGCCACTCCTCAAAGAGGGGTCTTACCGCTGCTATGGTAGCGTGCCCGGCCCTCGGTTGCGACAGTCGTTGTTTCCACTCTGCCATGAGATCTCGCCGGAGCTCATTCCGCCACGCACTAATTTGGCGCGGCAGAGGATCTTCGCCCCGGCGACGCGCGTCTGCGCGCAAACTGTAGACGCGCGCAAGCGCCTTCGCTTCTAGATCCCACGGCGGTGATCCGG